CCTGCTCCCTGCTAATTTGTCCAATTTGTCGACTCGGAAACAACACAAAAAAATATGATGAAAATTGCTGGCACATCGCCGCTTTTCCCCCCACCCCCCGCTGATCGGAAAGGAAAATATTATTTCTGCAAATAAAAAGGGGGACGCTGGATTCTGATAGGGCCGTATCATGTCGCCGGCGGATGCATAAAAGTATTTCAGCATTTAAATGCACCGCACCCGGGTGTCAGTTTCCATTGGATTGGACTAACAGGCTAACAGGCTCGCATCCTGGCCGCAGGACATTCGCCGGCTGTCACCCCACTTATCGCAAGGGCACTATTCACTACTCACTATTGCCCCGGGGCCAAACATCTGCCCAGAAATGGCAATGGAAAAAAGGAGAGCAAATAGGCACAAGTGGCAGCAAAAAGACGCAACCCGTCATTAGCGGCTCGTAAAGTCTTAATTGAAGCTGGCATAAATCCAAAACTAATTTATAATTGGCTGCCCATTGGGAAAAAACGATTCAAGAACCATTTATGGTTTAATATGCCTTACTTTTCCAAGCAGACAAGTTTCAAAAAATATTTCTTTGTTAAATTAAGACCTTATAAAACATAATGTTAGTTGGTTGTTAAAAAAAATACTATTAATGTCTGAAAATATATATGCATATCATCAAAATAACAAGAACTTTTACAACTTAAATTTGTTCATATGTATTTTATAGATGATTTGAGGAATTCTATTATATTGAATTTTCAACTATTTTTTCCCTGTATACACTAAAGGCTTTTACAATTCATTAATTAATCGAATCTTCCTTTCTTTACAGCTTCTTTCTCAAGTTCTTCTTGAAGTGCAATCAAAACTGTTTGAAAAATGCCGGAAACCCGCGGGACATGCGCAGATTTCAGGTGAGTTGGCGCCTTCACCTGCCCAAGCGATCGTTATTAATAGAGTGTTTCGTTCTCCTCAACATCAGGTGGTGATCTCCACGCAGGTGGCCGTGGATGGACCACTTCTGGCCATCTCCGACAACATGTTCGTGCACAACAACTCGAAGCACGGACGGAGGGCCAAGCGGCTGGATACCACGGAAGGTACAGGCAACACATCCCTGTCCATTTCCGGTCACCCCCTAGCGCCCGACAGTACCTACGATGGTCCGTAGCAAAATTCCAATTATTCCGACCAATTTTTCGTTTTACGTAGATCCAAGAAATCCCCCCATAATCCCCCGAAAATTCCCCCATAATCCCCCGAAAATCCTCCAAGATTTTTCGTTTTATTCGTAGCAATTGGCAAATCAGAAGCGATCGCATCTGTGAGATATACTCAACTAACCCATCAATCTCTGGGATTCACTTGCAGGTCTCTATCCACCGCTGCCAGTGGCCACGCCCTGCATCAAGGCAATCTCGCCCAGCGAAGGCTGGACAACCGGCGGCGCCACCGTGATCATTGTGGGCGACAACTTCTTCGACGGCCTGCAGGTGGTGTTCGGAACCATGCTGGTCTGGAGTGAGCTGATCACCTCGCACGCGATCCGGGTGCAGACCCCGCCGAGGCACATTCCCGGCGTGGTGGAGGTGACGCTATCCTACAAGAGCAAACAGTTCTGCAAGGGATCGCCCGGTCGCTTCGTCTATGTCTGTAAGTGGTCGCAGTTCCGCCCTCCTGCTCATCCACTCCATGTCTAACCTTTTGATTACCGCTTTAAGCAGCTCTCAACGAACCCACAATCGACTATGGTTTCCAGCGCCTGCAGAAGCTCATTCCCCGGCATCCCGGCGATCCGGAGAAGCTGCAAAAGGAGATAATCCTCAAGCGGGCCGCCGATCTCGTCGAGGCCCTGTATTCCATGCCCAGGTAAGAGGATTGCTAATATCGAAGCTCTTTGGCGGGAAACTAATACCCAACCCGTGTTGCAGCAGATCCCCGGGCGGCTCCACGGGCTTCAACTCCTATGCCGGCCAACTGGCGGTCAGCGTGCAGGATGGCTCTGGCCAGTGGACCGAGGACGACTACCAGCGGGCCCAGTCGAGCAGCGTGAGTCCACGGGGCGGCTACTGCAGCAGCGCCTCCACGCCGCACAGCTCGGGAGGATCTTACGGCGCCACGGCGGCCAGTGCAGCGGTGGCGGCCACGGCAAATGGCTATGCACCTGCTCCCAACATGGGCACACTCTCCTCATCGCCCGGCAGCGTCTTCAACTCCACGTCAAGTAAGTACCCTGCCCCTAAACTCCCACGTAGGTGAAGGGAAACCCATCACAATGGTCACCTCAAAGTCCTGCATTCGATACTTCTTTGAGGGAACATCAGCATATTGGAAAATAATTCTAATAAGTTCTCATGATAGACATTTAGTTAAGAACTATGAGTATAAGACCTAATCGGCCTAGTTCTCCCTTTTGTCAATTTTTTTTTTTACCAATTTCAAGACTTTTTTAAACATTTTGAATAGAAAATTTAGATATTTTTTAATACAAAAATATTTAAATATTTTTCCATTGGAGTCTAAATATGTAAAAGCAATCGTTTCTTTTCCTGAGAAACAATTTTTCTTTAAATAGATATTAAAAAAAATAAAATAAAAATATTACGATTTCAAAAATTACAAATAAAAAAAAAGCCAAAAGTAAGCTTTGATAAGATATTTCGAAATCCATAAAAAAAAAGTCACCGGCCTATCTTAAACAACTCAGCTCAGAGGCCTCAGATGATCTCATGTTTCCCGTCATTTACTGATTAGGAAAACATTCCCAGCCAATCAAATTCCTGTCTTAGAAGTTCTTAATTTCTATTACAATCTTTTGTTGATTTGAGCTTCAGTTTGAATAACTCTCACATGAATACCGCCCTCACATAAACTGCATAAACTCTCGTTGCCATATCCCGAATTATCCCCACTTTTTCCCCCCAAACCATCCAAACAAAGTGAACAAAGTATGCTCAGCAAAGTGCATTTTCGCCATTAATTCCAACAGTGTCCGCCGTGTCGTCGACGTGGCATCAGGCGTTCGTGCAGCACCACCACGCGGCGACGGCCCACCCGCACCACCACTACCCACATCCCCACCAGCCGTGGCACAATCCGGCCGTGTCAGCAGCCACGGCGGCGGTCGTTTAAGCGATTCCCGGAGTCCAGTGGCAGCAGTTCAGCCGGAGGAGCTGAGCGAAGGAGGACCTTGGATGAGCCGGACTTTGGGGCAGAGTAACGACATTTTGTTCAAATTAAATGTTTCACGCCCGACAACCACACCACCCACCACCACCACCACCCACACACACGGCCAGACACCATCTATCAATCTGCAAGGACGCCCACAAAATGGCGAGTGGGTGGCTGTGCAAGAGGAGGGTCTTCAAAAGCAAATCTGAGCATTCAAAACACACTTCCACCATCAACAAACACCACAGATAACACATGATTAACGGTATTTATAATTTCCATTATCACTAAGATAGTAAAGCAAAAGCAAAGTCCCCTAAATATAACAAGCTTATAATTTTCGTAAATTTGTGTTTATTATTCTATGATTTCTGAATAACTTAAAAACATACTCCTTAGAAATAAAATTCCCTTCACCTTAGCCCCAAACATATCCCAACTAACTTACTAATCTTGTGATTTCTATATTTTTGCAGGGGTCAGCAGCCTGAGTTTCAATCCCTTCGCCCTGCCCACCTGCAACACACAGGGCTATAGCACCCAACTGGTGACGTCAACCAAATAATATTACTACTAAATGAGGCTATTGGCAGGCCCTAAATCCCTTCGCGAAGTCGCGCCGATACCACGCCAATCACAAGAAGCTCGAAAGTGCAATAAACAAAAGAAAATGGTTCCAAAATTCAAAAATCTATTTATATAGTTGTACAATTTTTGATTGAATCCCGTTTTTAATTTATTTTTGAATACGCCTCGGTAATAGATTTATACAATTACGCATAGAATACCATATCAAAGTAATGGAAAACATATGAAAAGGGAAGGCAGCATATCATGCAGGGGCCTCAAGAACCCACAAAGTTAAGATCGGGCAAATAGAATTCTAAAATATGCTTGATGAAACACATTTTGTAAATATTTATCACGAAATAAATAAAAATTAATTAATAATCGGAACTGTGAATAGAGGAAATTATACCTATTTATATACCCATGATGATTGATCAATACTAATACGAATCAAGATATACCAAAACAGATACAATTTGAACGAACTTTTGGACATAACTAAATGCTTGTATACGACACTTTCTTGGATTAATATCGAAACAAAAAATAAAAGTATGGGAAATACACTCTGCCAATTGAGAAAACCGAAATCAAAATGTTATATACCTACATAGATATACAGCCACATTTGCAGCATATCTAAGCGTAATATTACAACAAATTTATACCAAACTTTTGGCAAACATATCGTGCACTTAGTCCTAATATCCATATCACGCGATCCCACACTCATCACATACTCGAACATATTTGTATAATGCCCATCATATCCACAATTCGAAATTCATTTTGAGCGAGCCACTCTCTATCAACACCAAATCATCATAAGATATACATTTCGCTATTCAAGTCAGAGTGTTTGATAAACTACCGATTTGTTGACTAGAATCTAAGCTAAGCATACACCCGCAGTCGATATCTGGGGGTGCATATACTATATTTAGGCTTAAGTTTATTGTTTATTGCTCGATTTGTAGGAGATTTACTGTAATTTGTATTCGTATTGTATGATAATGTATGCTTGCTCTCCTAGATCTACAAGAAAACAAAAGCAAAGGGTTAGCGTCGCAACTGAGGAGCTCAACCAATACGATAGTGAAGCATATCTATAAGAATCGCATAGACAGCAAAACTTAGCCGCAAAACCGATTTGTAAATTACAATACAATAATTTATAATAACAATCTAGCAACGCTCTCTGTTTTGTAAATCTTAACAAGTTATTTAAATAAAATTTATTTAAAATAAACGTCATACACCATGAAGCCGAATTGTTTTTACTACGTCGTACAGCTTTATTTCGGTTTTGCGTTTGGGTAAAATTGAAATGTTGAAATAAATTGAATAATCAAAGTCTTTGCTCTTGGTAAAAGAGCATAAATTACATGAATACATAACATATGTATAGATATTTAACCTAATCAACGGCATGTAGATGCCCTGTTGTTTCCGTTTCTCGTTTCCTTAATCCTCTGGGTAATTGCATGTTGTGGCGGTGCCTACTCATCCTTGGCAGGCACCGAGTCCTCGCTCTCCTTGAACAGTATCTCCTGGATCTTGGAGCGCACGTACAGCTTGCGATTGAGCGACAAATGACGCATGACGGGCACCAAGCTTAGGGCGAAGTAGTAGTCGTCGTCCTTAGTGTGCTCTTCGTGGTTCTGCTGGATGATGTAGCTAAGCTGCTCACTGACGGTGGTCAGTCGGTCGATGGACGTCTCCAGGTTGTTCTTTAGCTGCTTGGCCGAGTTGTTGGCCGATGTGGAGGCCACCACAGTGGCCTGAACCACCTGAGGCCCTGCTGTACTGGTCCTGCTGCTACTCCCGCCGGCGGCACTGGAGTGGCTCAGCACGGTGACCTGCTTCTCCTGAGCATGCTCCACGCCGCCTTCCTCGTCCATCACGTGTATGGGACTGTAGCACAGGGGATCCTCGCTGTAGATGATGTCCTTAATGTCCTCGCTGATCTCATCGTTCTGCTCGTACTCCTCCCATTTCTGCGGCAGGGCACCAGCTTCGCCCAGATAGCTGGCGACGCCGGATTCGATCTTCGGCTTGGCCACACGAAGTGGCTCCCTCAGCGTCTTGGCCTTGGTAATCCGCACGGTTTTCTCTGCAAGCAAAGGATGGGAAATGGGCTTAGTGGATGTGCCTTGCGATACATATTGATAAAGCTGCCGATTTAATAACAAATATCACCCAGAGATGGACGTCCACGATAGTTTCCCGCCGACCCAAGGGGTCGATAGCCCGCCAGAAGAACTCCTGGGAATTTGGTAGTGGGGATTACCTTTCTTGATGATCGGGATTATCCGTGATGGAGTGCGCTGCTGCACCGGACTGACGAGGACTTCATCACTGTGTTTGTGCCGCAAATGCGTCCACAAATTGGTGGTATTGTTGCCCTTCAAATTGCTGGCCATGCCACCACGCGATATATTGTTGCCGCAATAGCGGCATATCGCAAAGTTTTCGCACTCCTCGTTAATATCGTAGTGCTGCCACACATTGCTCACGCGTCCCTTGGGCATTTTGATAGTTTGTTTTTAAAATTCCTTTTACGTGAAAACCAATTTTTTCTCAACAAAATTCTTTTTTGCAATATTAGCGTTGCTGGCGCCAGTGTTGTCAAATGCCTAGTGTGCCAGTGTTGCACAGCCGCCGAATATAGGGGTGAAAACAAAGGCCACAGAAAAAAAGGTGAAAAACAAAAATAAATGGGAAAATAAATGTTTTTATAGAAAAAAATATAGTAAAATAAGCATTTAGATAATACACCTCAAAAATGGTATTTTTTTAGTTTGGTTTAAATAAAAAAAAGAGATTCCTGGCTATTCCTGCAAACACTGGATGAGGGGGTTTCGGGGTTCGACTCAATAGTTATTTCCGGGTCGATTTTCAGGGTTTGTAATTCCCAGTTTTAGGTTTTTTCCCGCCCCAAAGGAAAGAATCCCGCACCGATGACCCGTGGATTTATCGCGATGGCAGCGGGCACTGATCCGTGCTCGGTTTCTACGGCACGGAGCACGCGTGGCAGTGGAATTGCAAGGGCGTGCGTGAGATTCGGATCCCAAACTTACCGTTACTGCTGCTGGAGTGAAGACATCGGTGGCGCAAAAGGGATCCCGTGCCGGTTTTCCCGCTGTAGGACAACAGATCACCGCAGGTTTTGCAGCAGGCGTACGGCTCAATTCGATCGTCGCACTGGACGAGATTGAAAAACCTCCAGACACAGCTTTTTGTATTCCGGGGCTCCACAAGTTTGCACCGCTTGTCGCCGGATTTAAGGAGGCTACGTAGTTCCGATTTCTTCTCCACATGCATTATGGCGAAGCGGATGATTGGCTGGAAATCGGTTTGCAAAACGAAAACAAACCCAAATTATAAAATCCACACAAATACAAGCAAACTCACGAAATTCAGTCACGCACAAAATAGTGTTGGAGAGCGCGACAGGGCAGGGTAAAATATTGCAAGGTGGCGAAAGATAGTTTTTGATTCTATTAACAAGAAATGGTTTAATAGGTAGGTTTACCTGATTTATTAATAATTTGTTTAATTTATTAACAGTATTTATCTTTTCCTAATTATTATTTGCTTAAAATATCGATTAAAGCTGATAATAGCAAAAGCGATAAATCTATAAAAACTGTATCTAAATCATCTGTAACTTGAATCGTTAACTTTCTTACCTGTTGATTAAAATGGGAAAATCTAAGAGGACTTCCTACAGCCAGGACTATATCAAGGCCCAAATACAGGATGGAGTCCTTCGATTCAGCAACAAGCGCAATCGGAGCAGAGTCTGGGATATTTTCGCCAGGATCGAGGACAAAAGTGGCGTCGTCATACCGAACATTGTGATGTGCCGGACATGCAGCAGCCTTCTTAAATATCACGGATGCACCTCTAATATGGTGCGCCACAAGTGCTACAGGACCACGGCGTTCAATCCGCAGGCGGAGGATCCCCTGGGCTGTGGCTACGACGATGGAGAGGAACAGGATCCCAACGAGACCTCACCGGATTCCAACACGGAGGAGAAGGCCGCCGACAAGGTCACCCAGGCGGTGGTGGAGTGGTGCGTGACCAACTCTCGTCCCTTAAACATTGCCAAAGACACGGGTCTTCAAAAACTAGTATCCGTTCTACTGGAGATCGGCTCGGAGTACGGCCGCAATGTCTGCGTGGAGGACCTGCTGCCGGAGATTGGAGTCATCGCATGGAACATCGAAACTTGGTACGAGGAGAAATTAAAGCAGTTGCGCTCCGAAATGTCCTGCGTCCGGGCAAACGGCTATAGCATAGCCATTGCAGAGGAAAAGGACTCCAGTGTCGACAGCTTCTTCCTCTCCAGCACAGTGCACTACGTCCGGGAGGGACGCAAATGTTCCCAGTTGCTGGGCTTAACCAATGTCCCCAGGAACAAGTCCACCACAGGTTGGTAAATAGAAAGTGAAACTAAGTGATGGCATCAATAAGAGTTTAATTTTAGATACCTACATCCTCAAGCTAATCGAGGCCACGCTAAGAGATTGGGACTGTGATCTGGTTGAGGATGATCCCATTTTCGTGTACGACGAGCGATCCTGTGTTAAATCACTATTCGAGGGCAGAAGAACTTTGTTCTGCATCAATTCCCTACTCGATAGAGTGGTGGAGAAAGCCTTCAATGACGTGAAAGAGTTAAGAAACGTACTGAAGAAAGGCAAGGAGCTGGTTATTCTGGGAGTGCTGCCCTCGCCCACTTCATCGGGTCTGGTCGAGATCTACCACATATTGAAATCACTAGAGGACAACTGGGGCATTATTGGGAATGAGGATGAAAAGCTGATAGAGGGCTGTGAAATTGCCGGTCTGGAGGCCATCAATAATCTCCTAGCGCGCTTTGAGAAGTGCTGCCAGACGCTGGAGAGCGGAACGAGCCCAACCCTGCACCTAGTCATACCCCACATCCACCGGCTAAGGAAGTACTGCGCCGGAGAATCCAGTCACTCGATGGAAGTGGATCTAAAGAGGGCGCTGATGGACAACATTGACTGGATGGTGCTGCCCTGCATCACCAAGTACCACATGATGGCCCACTTCCTGTTCCCGCCCACCAACAGGTTGCTGCAGTTCAGTCAGGAGGAGCGGGAGGAGACCGTTGGAAACTGCCAGATGTTCATGAAACGCTACTGCTCCTCGCAGCATCCGGAAAAGGTGGAACAAGTCCTGATCAAGGGCGAGGGCGAGCTGGTCAACGAGCGTGATATTGAGCCGGACGACGATCTATTCTCGGACTTTGTCGCCATGGACACCCAGGAGGATAAGATTGCCAAGGAAATACGAGGCTACCAGGCCATTCAGATGGCCTACAACGACGGGTTTAATGTTCTCGAATGGTGGCAATCAAACCGGGAACTTTTTCCGCTGCTCTTCAAGACAAGTAGCCAGATCCTAACCATTCCCGCCAGCAAAGCTCCCTCAACATTGGTTCTCTCACAGGCCAGCAGTCTGATCAAAGATCCTGCCTGCAGCATTGACGAACTGCACCGAGTAATGTTCCTGAAAACGAACATGGGCGAGAGCACAGAATCTTAGTCAGACGGTGTGAAGTAGTTGTGTGCTCGTTTGTGTGCAAACATGGTTTACCTCCCCTTGAAGTCCGGATAATATAAATTGAAAATGTCGATTCACATAATAATGAATACATTAAGTTTATAATGATATGTGAAAACAATTGGTTATACCAATGATTAAGACATAGTTAGATTTACAAGTTATTTTAGAATCCCTGGTATTTTGTATTTAAGTCTATTAAATAATTAAAATACATTTTAAATTTGAATTGCGCCCTCAGTCGCTCCTGTTCTTGCCGGAAAAAGCAGAGATTTAGCCAAGAGTGCAGAACGGTCATACTTTAACGCTTGGCATTTCCAATTAGCCTTAACAGTTAGCAGATACATACTCCGCAGATAGCCGTGACACCTTTCCGTTCGAAACCGATAGTGCCCCGTTAGACATCGATATTACCGATGTTCTGTAAACATCGATGTCAGTATCGATGTTCCTCCACCTCTACTCTCGACGCAATTAGAAATAATTGTGAAAATATCTGCAAATTGTTAAAAACGCGAGCAGCACAAGTAAATGTCTTTAAAAACAGTGCAAAATTAATGAAAAAATCGCAATTTTGTTGCGGGTGTCCCTGTTTTATGATTGTGTGTATGTGTGCGCCTTATTAAATAAATTAATTATAAGGCAGAGTTACATATTTGAAAAAGCAAAAGATTGGAAATAGTGTAGTGAATACTCTCTTTTTTCTCTCTCTTTTAAACAGTTACAAAAAGTGTCCCATACACATAGGCAAATACAATGAAAACGAAGAAGAACAAGAAATAGTTGTAAAAGTGCTGCGGTAAACAATTAAACAAATCGGTGGGGAAAATCTGTGAAAATATGTAGGTTTATTGCAGTATTTTCGCAAGTATGTATAGGCGTATGTAAATATGAAATATGTAAAGGCAGCAACAGCAAGCAGAGCAGCATATACACACATGGAGAAATCGCCCAAAAAACTTTCTGCGCAAGCTGCAGAGAGCGTGAGAGAGAGACAGAGAGCGGGAGAGATTGATTTCCTTGGTGGAAATGTATGAATGAATTTTCACTTTTGCAAATTTTATGTTAATAAAATAACAGTGGTCGCAGCAAGTGGAAGCTCCTAAAAACCTGCATAAATAAAATAATTAAGCTTGCAATCAAAAGTCAGTGTTTAAAACCCATACAGACTCCCAATTTGAGCCTCTCCTTCTCTCAATTTTCATCTGTTACATCTTTTGTTGCTTGGAAAAATCCGTGTATGTACGTGTGTGTGTGCGAAGTTTTCCACTGTGTTTGTCTACACGCCCACATAAGTGGCCCTGTGTTTGTGTATTTGGAAAAGTAAAAGTGATTCTCGATTTATAATCGCAAAACCCGAAATTAATTATTTACCTTTCCCGTCCAATTTAGTGAATGAATAAAACCCCCTAACTCTCTATAAAAAACCCCCCCAAAATTGTGCCAAAAAAAAAGAGTACTGGAAATCGCCGAGATATAGCTACAGCAAGTCGGATAACAACATCAACGTGGGATAGGATCGTCTAATAGTGTCATCAAGTTTCTGGTGTTGTTGTTGTCGTTTGATTCCTTTTTTTTTTCGTTGAAAACGTTTGTGCAGCAGCAGCTCTGAATGTCTTTATGCTTTAATCATGGTGTATTTCGCCACCAACAACAACAACACCGACACTATACGCTGCTATATTAGAATCTTTCTGATAACGAACCATGACAGAAGGACATGAAAGGTGAGTTTGTACAATATTGTCGATTAGCATAATCATCGAGCACAAGTTATGTTAACTAGTTTCTTAAACCACCAACATATAAAATATATTTTTCTAGTATTTAGACTTTGATTTGGCGAAGCTCTTGATACTTGTTCGTTCGTAAGCTAAAAAAAATACAAGTTTTTTATTTGGGGTGCCACAAAAATTGTCTTCCCGTTTAAATTCGAATTTGTTGTTAGAAATTCTTTTGAGATTTGAAAATTATCAACAAAAAAGGAAAGGAAGCTAGCTTCAGCAAGCCAGAGTTAAAAAAATAATTTAAAATTTTTATATCTCAGAGTATTTCCGTATATGCTAAAAAACCAAGAAGTTATATTATAATTTATTTCTTTGTTTTTTAAATTGTTCCTATGGGAACTATATGATGTGGAAGTCTGTATCAGAACGTCCGAATTATATACTACCAGCAGTAAAATTAAGACTTGTGAAAGTTTCATCCAGATAGCTTTAAAACTGAGAGGCTGAAACAGTAAAAGTAATTTTTTAATTCTTGAAAACAGGGTTTTTAATATTGATTTGTCGACTCAAAATGACACATGCTTACTTATCTAAAATAAAGTCATGAATTTAAAATATAACAAAATAATACGCATTCGTCAAATAATCAGTTCTTTAAGACTATTCATTAAAGAATAATCACATGTTGAGTAATGGCAAATAAAAATAAAAATTAATTTTTAAATTTTCAAAATAATAAGTAAGCGTCATTTTATTCTTATTATAGTTTGTTCATAAATTTAAGTAAATTTACTGAAAATAAGCTTATACTGTCCGGAAAATATACTGTTCTTAGTTCGTT